GATGAAGAGTAGAGCCGGGTCACCTTCATCGCCTCTGAGTTACAGCAAGTGTTATTTATGTTTAATAAATTATATCTTTAAAATAGCAGCATGAGAGGATGAATCCACGAAGAGTGAAGGCTTCAAACAAAGTGATGTCACAGCGTCATTAACGAAATGTCCTTCAAGTATTAATAAAACTAAAATGTAGTCAGAAGGTCAAGAATCACATACGAGACACTCGTCTTCAAACTGATTTATTTCAACTATTTGTAGAAACTTGTATCATAGAAGTGTTCTTTATAAAGATCACCAGCTTTTACCTGTATCGTTTTTATTTCAATATAAAATTACGTATAAAAATATGACATGATCAATTGAAACATATAATCTTGAGGGAATAACGTGTGATCATGAGGCACTGACATGGTCTACGTTTGATTTAAAGGAGACATATTCAGCGTCATACTTGAATTCTATGTTTCTATTGGAACATGCTCTAATGTTCAAAAAACACATTCATTGTCTGAATAAACCTGAATTCACCCTGTTTGGAATGCTCCGTTTCAGCGCCTGTCTCTTTAAGACCACAGGCTGCTCTAATTGGCTGGTGGGCGGTTTATTCTAATGAGCCTGTATGTGACATACAAGAGGAACCAAATCTGATTGGCTCGTTAAATCGCATGTTTTCTGATCAACGTAGACTGAAACAAACCCTGTAAAGAACTTTATTTTGGTTATTTAGGATGTTTATATTAGATTTATTTATTAATATTATTTGTGGAGTTTTAAATGAGCAAAAATACATCAAAACAAATCAACCTCATGTTTATTGTATTTAAAAAAGTATAAAAAGAAAAAGTCATTCTTTATTGACCTGAGACCCTAAAAACACTCGTTTAGTTCCTGTTAACTAAGAATCCCACAAACACCAAACGGTTAATTCAGACCCAGAACCAACAGAGACTCAGCAGGGTCCCCGTCAGACCCAGAACCACCAGAGACTCAGCAGGGTCCCCGTCAGACCCAGAACCACCAGAGACTCAGCAGAGTCCCCGTCAGACCCAGAACCACCAGAGACTCAGCAGGGTCCCCGTCAGCCTCAGAGCCAGAGTCAGGACCGGTGGCGCCGCAGCCACAGCGGAGCCGGTGTTGCAGAGGTTGCTGCTGCAGCATCGGTACGTGAAGCCGGAGATCGCCGGGAACATCTGGGACAGACGGGAGTTATCACAGTCTGTGTACCGGATACACTGACGGATGGTCTTACCTCCTGGAGGGACAGGCACGCGGTGAGGACAGGCACGCGGTGAGGACACGCACGCACAGGGTGAGGACACGCAGGCACAGGGTGAGGACACGCAGGCACAGGGTGAGGACAGGCACGCACAGGGTGAGGACACGCAGGCACAGGGTGACGACAGGCACGCACAGGGTGAGGACACGCAGGCACGCGGTGAGGACAGGCACGCACAGGGTGAGGACACGCACACACAGGGTGAGGACAGGCACACACAGGGTGAGGACAGGCACGCACAGGGTGAGGACACGCACACACAGGGTGAGGACAGCGCAGGCACGCGGTGAGGACAGGCACGCACAGGGTGAGGACAGGCACGCACAGGGTGAGGACACGCACGCACAGGGTGAGGACAGGCACGCACAGGGTGAGGACACGCACGCACAGGGTGAGGATACGCACACGGTGAGGACAGCGATCATATAGACACTGAGACTGGTTCAGGACCAGGTAGAAGATGCTTATAGTGACTTTAAGGTCAGTACTCACCTCTCTCACTCAGAGAGATACAGGAGTCTTCATATGTGCACTCCTGGACGTTCTGACAGCGTCCAGTGTAATCAGAGCACTTGTAGCAGCGAAGTCCAGAACCTGAAGAAGAAGAAGAAGGAGAAGATGAAGAAGAAAGAGAAGGAGGAGAAGAAGAAGTGTGTATTATGTGGCGTCCCCTAGTGGTGAGGTTGCAGGGAAACCGGGAACAGGACAAGACAAACAGGCGGGTAGAACACAAACAATGAGCTGGCAGTGAGTGACTGAGAGGCAGGGGTTTATAAGGTGACTTGAACAGGTGAGGAGAGTTGTGCTGATGAGGGAGTGCTTGATTACTGATCAGGGACAGGTAAAGGGAGTTAGACTGGTGCTGAGGGAGTGACTGAGTTAGACTGGTGCTGAGGGAGTGACTGAGTTGGACTGGTGCTGAGGGAGTGGCTGAGTTGGACTGGTGCTGAGGGAGTGACTGAGTTGGACTGGTGCTGAGGGAGTGGCTGAGTTAGACTGGTGCTG